AACTTCTCCCTCCTTGTGGATTTATGCCTAAAAGCAAAACAGAACCAACAAACCCCAAAACCAACGACAACCACCAAGCTTTCCCGTCATTTCAGTCGGGTTTCAGGGGTAGACAGTGAGGAGGCGCCGTCTCTGCCGGAGGCTCCTGCGTGTTGCTGGGGACTAAGGCCACGCACTCACGGGTGCTCCCCAGGGCACTCGGACGCTGTGCAGCCACCGAGGGCCCCGCACCCCTGGCCTGACTTCGTGGGTGGCCCTTGCAGGCCTCGCCGTCCAAATGCTTCCAGTCCTGCCCACAACACAGACCTGGAGCTCCGGCTTGGCCAGCGACGGCCACACTCCGGGCTTCAGAGAGGTAGCCCTCTCTGTGCTTCGGGCTTGTGAAGTCGGTGACCTGTGAGTTCAGGCAGTGAGTGGGCGTTTCCTGGGGAGACTCCATCTGAGAACGGAGAACTGCTGACCCAGAAGGTGCAGAAAGACCACCCCCTGATGTCTTTGCGCCTCTGGGTGGACCCCCCGGGAACCAGAGGCACCCGGGTTTTGTGGTTACAGGAGCCAGTGGACACATGCCCTTGGATACTGGAGCTGATGTTCGGCTGGACGACTCCTGCAGCTACAAGAGCCCTAGTTCGGGGCCGAGACTTATTTCGTCCTTCCCTTCATTCCCGTGGGGGGTGTGACTGGCATCCGGTCCCCTCCTGCAGGGGTTTCAGAGGAAAGACCCACACCGGAAGGACAGATGCCCACAGCACGTGACAGACCACACAGGTCAGTGTTTGGGATTTTGAGAAACAATGCAAAGAGTTTTCTTAATAATTTCAGTAACGTTAGGGCCTGAAAACTGAAGCTCATTTGGGAAATGTCTGAAAGGCATCAGGACACGTGTACTCGGGCCTGATTTTGACAGGCGTGCGTCAGGGTCTCGTGGTGAAGGAGGAGGCACATGTCAGAGACCAGCATCTACGCACCCCAGGCGCCGGCACGGTCTTCACCACGTGGGCTCGTTGTGCGGAGGCCACGTCATGGCGCCCGTCACGCACGGGGCCTAAGCGCGTCCCAGCGGCCGACCCCGAGCAGCCCAGCTCCCACACCTGCCCAGCCGCCCCTCTTTTATAAACGCAGTTTCCTGGAGTCCATCCGTCCATTTATACGTCGCCTGCTGCTGCGTTTCTCAACAGCAGTGGCAGCAACGGCAGTTGTGACAAGGGCTCTGGCCCGGGAAGCCTCGCGTGCGCCCCGAGAGGTCGCTGTCATCCCAGAGGAAGACACGGAGGCTCGGAGGTCCGAGGGTCTGGTCTGCACTCACGCAGAGTTTGGAAGCAGAGTCCCGGTTCGTACCCGGCTTTTTCTCTTTTCACACCTTTGGGTGTGGTTCTCCCGCTATTTTTGCCCTCGGGCCAATCATTTCTACCTACGTAGGAATCATTCCCTCCTACCTGTAGGAAGCTCATCGTCTTCCCGCGTTGCTGCAAGCACTTTACTCTGGTCCTTCAACCTCCATGTTCGTCTTTGTCAATAAAGTTTTGCTGCGGCACAGCCACGCCCCCCGTTTCCTGTGTCTGTAAACAGCTGGAGCTCACCCACTGCTGTGCTGCCCTGGGGGAGATCAGTTCCCGCACAGCTGGTAATGGGCTCGGACGAGTGAAATACTCGTCTTCTGGCTCTTTCCAGAAAAAACCGACTCATGACCACAGGGAGGCTGATCAGCTCGCCACTGTGGACTGGCTCTGTCTCGGAGACTGTGTGCTGCGTGGGTCACGGAGCAGGGGACCGAACTGGAAGGAGCTGGTGGCCGTGTCTTTGTGCCATTCTCCAAGCGCTACGCACAGACCTCGGTGTTTCCGTGCGAGTTTACAAAACCGCAGACCCCCGGCTCCACAGAGGCCCTGCCCTGGCAAAGCCTGGTGTGACCAAGGGGCCCGAACCCAGGATGGGGGCCAATTTGGGGAACACCAGCCCAGAGCAAACCAAGTCTCCCCAGAATGCTTGTTGGGTCAGCGAGGTTGCGTCAGCGCTGACCACAGGCTGCGCCCTGAGCTGCCGTGAGTCTGTCTTTCATCATCTGAACAGCTCCTTGGTCCCAGGAAAACCAGGTCTACACAGCAGTGACATTGCACTTACTGGGAAGAAGGAAAAAGTGGGAATGAGACATGCTGTCAGTCTGTCAGTGGTCTGATGGACACACGGCTCTTTCTGGGTTGAATCACTGTGATTCTATTGAGTTCTCTGAGTGCCATGTGGTTATTTTGGGTCACAGTTCTGGAAGGGGACTTCGCTTGGGTTTCAGAGTTGTCACTTTGTTGAGAACGTTTAGCTAAAGAGCCAAGAAAATCCTCGCTGCCCCCGTGGGAACAGGAGGACTGGTGAGGATGAAGTGCTGTTTGGAAGCCTGGACTGCACACACTCGGACGGAGCACACGCAGCCCCTGCAGACACGTTCTTTCTGTCTGGTCGTTGCCAAATGACCCTTCAATGAGAGCTTTTCCTCCGTAGCCCTTCACCAGTGGGACCTGCGCCGCAGCACTGTGATGTCACCTTCACTGTCACGAGGACACGGCATCACTGACACAGCAGTCTGTGCCCCAGGCTGTCCAGGGGACATCAGGGACCCAGGTGAGGTCCAGGCTGAGTCAGTCAGCTGCTGTCCTTGGTCTCCCACGAGGTGATGGCCCCCTCTGTGCTCCGTGTGTGGTGGCCCCTTCCCACCTCAGGGGTCCCCAAGGGCTTTGGGGTCCTGGGTGGTGGAGGGAAGTGCTGCCTCCTTCCAGGTCTTCCTGTTCCAAGGGGTCCGTTTCGCTGGACTCCAGATGCTTCCAGCCACTGATCCCATTGGCAACGTCGGTGTCAGCACCAGCTTTTCTGAAGCCGGGCGCAGGGGCTGACTTGGGACCCAGGGCTACTCGGCTGCACGCAGCTGTCCCCACACCCAGGACGCCTGTGCTGGTTGCCTGGCGGGGTCTGTCGTAAAGATGGCCGGGGTCAGACGACCCTGGAGGCCAGACTACCGAGAGAGTTGTCCTGGCTCTGCTCTGAGCCGAGAGCTGAGAGCCAGGCCTGCTGTTTGGGAAAGAAACGAGTGAGCTCTTTCCCCCAGTGGCCGCCCGGCGTGGCCAGGGCGGCTCCAGCCTGTCCTGTGGTCGCCTGCATCCCAGCCTCTCGTCTGTGCGGTGGGGGGGACAGGTGGTGGGGGCCCGGGCTCCCTGCCAGGTCACTCGGAAACTGCAGTCGAGACAGCAGGTGAGACTCTTTTGCATACGTAAGGGGATATTGTGAACTATAAAATAAAATCCCACAGTAATAATTCCCGGAAAGGTTTTCTGTCACAAGGCGAAGAGGTCCGTCGGCGAGTGATCTAATCTTCTGAATCTACGCGCTGACTGCATATCATAAATTAGCTTTTCAGTCTGGCTCTAGGAAATCTGCTAAGTTCTTTTTTTTCCTAAGATTAAAAAAATTTATTAACAGAGGGGTAGGGATGGAGAGAGGGAAACATCAATGTGTGGTGGCCTCTCCTGCTCCCCCCACTGGGGACTCAGCCCACAACCCACCCAGGCATGTGCCCTGACTGGGAATCGAACCGGCGACCCTTTGGTTCGCAGGCCAGTTCTCAGTGCACTGAGCTGCACCAGCCAGGGCCTGCTAAGTTCTTTTACTTATTTGTTTGACATTTGTTTGGGTGGTTTTAGGGTTACTGGTTAACGAAATGAGTAAAGCATGGAGTTTCCATATACTCCCTCCCCCAAATGTCTCCTGTCATGAACACTGGGCATTTGTTACAGTTGAGCTGATGGGGACACATCACCACTAACTAAGCGTCGCAGTTCGCATGGGGCTCACCCTTGGTGGCGTACGTCCTCTGGGTTTGACCGATGAGCAGTGTCACTGCCCTGCCCTCCCCCTCCCGCTGGACTCCTGGCGACCGGGGGTCTTTGCACCATCTCCGGGCTTTGCCTATTCCAGAATGTTCTGCGGGTGGAATTGCACGGCCTCTGGCGTTGGCTTCCTTCACTGAGCACCACACACCGCCGCTTCCTCCGTGTCTGTCTGTGGCTGGGGCGCTCTTCTCATCGCCCAACAGCGCTGCCCGTCTGGATGGACCACGGGCTGTGTTTCCATCACCTTCTGAAGGACGGCTCAGCCCCCTCCAAATGTCGGCGACTATGGACGGAGAGGCCCTGGGCTTCCACGTGCAGGTGTGTGTGTGGACACGGGCGCCCACCCCCCTCGGTGCGCGCCCCTGACTGCCGGTCGAGTGAGGGGCTGCCAGACTGTCTTCAGAGTCTCTGGCCGCCCCGTGTCCTCCCAGGGCTGGGCAGTGGCGTCTCCCTGTTTTAATTTGCAGTCACCTAAGAACACGTGGTGTTTGCCATCTCTGCACCTGACGATGGGGCACCTGTTAGATCTTTTGCCCATTTAACAGTTGGGGCGGATGCGCTCCCGGGGTGGGGTTTCAGGGCTCTGTGGTCTGGAAGCCCGGCTCCCACCGGAGGCACCTCCCCAAAGGGTCCTCCCCAGCCTGCGGCTTGCCTTTGCAATGCCTCCCTGCATTTTTATCTTTCCTTGTGCAACCTCACTGTCCCCGTCCAGCCGGGCTAAAGTACTGTGGATGTTCAGGTTCGTGGCTGTTAAAGTGCTGACACCCCCTGCCCATGCACCATGGGTGCATTCTGCAGTTGGTGGCACCTCTAAATGGGAGCCAGTCACCAACGCTTAACCTCCAACCTTGCATTCTTCCTGGGGATTGTCGCTGTTGTCATCGGTGCACCGGCTTGTGGCCCGTTGAGCTGGCCGGGTGTCCCAGAGCCGATCGAGTGGCATTTCTGCTGACTGGGGTCAGCTGTGTTTGCCAGTTCGCTGGAATAGCCAGACACTGGTCAGGTCAGGCCGAAGACATTCCTGCCGTGTGAAGCAAGCCTGCTCGTATTTTCGGTTTGCCAGGACTGATGAATTAGAGTGTTTGGACTCCCCACGGCTCGCTGTTCATCAATGCCTCTGACAGGAGGAGGGCTTCTCTCGCTCCTGCTTTTTCTAGAAGCATGACCACATCCCGGCTGTTGCAGAGGCGAGGACAGGAGAGGGTGGCAGTGGGAAGTGGAACAGGAGGCCCGTGGGACGCGGGTCTGGGGACAGCAGGTAGTGGAGCCGGCCCGACAGCTGTCACTGCCCCTCAGAGAGTCAGTGGCCGCCACGCGGCAGGTGCAGCCGTCTCCGACTGAGCCTCTGCCTCGCAGTGAGGACGACCAGCCAAGGCCGTGCTGGCCCCGATCACACTCGGGCGCACACTCCACCGAGTGAGGTAAGGAACAGGTGTGCGCCCGCCTAGCCGCACGGGCTGCAGGCGCTTAACCACGGCTCGGCCGCAGCCCGGGGAGGGTGGGGGGGCTCGGTGCTGTCGGGCTCTGCAGTCGGCGCCGGGGGGACTCCAGACCCGCCCGCCCCGGCCCCTGCCACCCTTTCCAGGCACACAGATGCCGCAGTGCACAGGGGAGCGTTTCTGCCACTCCCGTTGCTGTGTTCGGAGACCCCCCAGAGTCCCGGAGGCAGGTGGTCCCTTCTGCGTCCCGTTTCCCGTGGCCGGGGAGCCAAGAGCCTCCACCAAGCTGGAGCCCAGCTCTGTGCCCTCAGACAGTTGGTACTCGGTTTGCTGATGGCACCGTGTGTGACCATAAGGCTTTTTCTTTTTGCGACAGTGTTAAGGGATTTTTACTGTTTCTTTTGCTAAATTTGAGACAGCTTTTTCTATTCCCTGGGGACAGGTGGTTCTAAGCAGATGGGGCTGCACTGAAATGCTCGTGGGGGCCGAGAGGAGCGGGTCCTGGGTTGAGGAACAGCAGTTCATGGGAACCCTTCTCTTAAGTTGGATGCTCCGTGTTCCCACCCTCTCCTCACTCAGAAGGACGCGCCTCAGGGTGCAGCGGGGCGGCGGCCGGCCACAGTGGGGAGCCGGCGGGCCGACCAGCGTCCTCACTGGGTGCTGAGTGGCTGCCGTCCCCCCACAGCTGAAATGAGTGTTGTACGTGAGCCCGATTACTTTCCACCGCAGGAGATGAGTCCATACGCACTCCGCCTGAACACACATGTGCACATACATGCGTTCGCCTCGCTGCTATAAATAACTGTACAAACAAAACCCAGTGTTCTGCACACTATTTTTAGATGGAGAGAAGTTATGGGAAAGATTCAGGGACCTTCTTGTGAGAAAACATCTCGCTGAGGCCGTTCCCAGGGACTCACTAAAGATGGCAAAACAGACGAGTTGTATTTTGCCATTTTTAGAGATGTTTTCCTTAAAATATCATTGAGAGCTTTTGGTTTACTGTCTACATGAGAATGAAAGTAGCGGGTTTAGGGAAACATGGCTAAAAATAGAGAATTTAAATAGATGTATTTAAATAACAAGGATATATTTATAACAATATCTTTTCCTAGGGAACAAAAATTATCATATATCTTGGTTTAAATGATTTGGGCTAAATTATCTTATTATAACAAAGAAATATTTGTGTTTTGGCCCACCAACCCATGTTATCCATAGGATATGCTCTCATTCATTCTACCTGCGTTCATTAATTAAACGGTAATTTAATAGACGAGGTTGAGTGTGGACAGCATGTTTTCGAGCTTTGTCTTCCGCTTGGACTCATATCACCCGTTCTCAAGACCTGCAGCCTCAGAGGCGTTGGCGGGTTTACAGGAAGTTAACGGGATAGGTAAGCGCACATTCGTGCTGTGACTGGGATCCTCGAAGGAGTCTTTGGTGTCCTTCAGACGGCCCCACGCTCCTCGGCGTTAACCACCCCAGATCCGTAACTCACGTCCAGTTCGGGCTTCCGAGCTCACCCGGCCGCATGAGCGGGACAGGCGGCCCCAGTCGGAAACTAGACCCTGAAGGGCCAGGGTCTGACGGGCCAGTGGGAGGGACCGAAAAACCCCTGTACCTGCCACTCCAGGTGTATGGTCCCAAAGCGACGGTCTTGTCAGTGGGGATCTTAAGCAGGCGGTGAGCGGGGAGCCGGTGGCCTGGTTCCAGGTCCTAGGGGGGCGGGAGGGGTGGGTAGTGACGCTGCCTCTTGTCCCCGCAGCTGGAAGACCCGGGGGACGGCCGCCGCCCCGGCGCCCACATGATCAGAGCCGCCAGGGTGCCTGCGGACCGGCCAGTGCGCATTGCCTTCAGCCTCGACGGCGCCCCAGGTACCTTCTGCAGGGCGGGGAGGGGGGCGCGTGTGGGGGCCTGCAGGGATTCATTCGGTGGTGCTGCCTGGGGCTTCCAGATGCGCCTCCGCCGCTGCTCCCCCACCCCCTTCGTTGGTCATTTTTGCCCATTTCAGCTTTTGTTCTGAAGCCCGTGGGCTGCACCCGGGTCTCATGGTGGCGAAGCAGGCCTCGGTTAGAGCGTCAGGAGGAAACTGTGGGGAGAGCAGGCTGCACACCCGGGGCGGCAGCGGCTCCTGCAGCCCAGCTGCCCTGCGGGCTGGTGCCCAGGGACGGGAGGCCACTTGTGATGGCAGGCCCCTCGCAGGCTCTCGGAGTCGCAGCCCTGTGACAGGGGCCCCGGGGTGCGGGCGGCCACACAGGGAACCTCGGCCCTCTTCCCTCACCAGAGGTCATCTGTGAATGTGCCTCAGCAGGTGCTCAAACTGCACTGCCCACTGCCGCTGACATCTCGGGGCTTTTGAGGGCTGATCTGACCCCGTCGGTCATCTATACCTGTCTGTCGTCTGTCATCCATCCTTCCTCCTGCCACACCCACGCGCAGGCGTTGCTTCACAGCCCTGAAGGGAAAGGGACGGGTTCAGGTTCCTGCCCCCACACAGCCACGCGAGGCCTGCGCCCAGGGAAGCCTGACAGGACCAGGCTGTGCTGTGTCAGTGATCGTGGCGGTGACAGTGATTGTGGCGGGTTCTGCAGCCAGGGACACCTGCCTCGTCCCCACCTGGCCTTTCCACAGCGGCTCTCGCCCCACCTGCCCACTCCTGCCCGAGCATGTGTCCCCAGTGTGTCCCCTTCGAGGACAGGAGTGAAGGGCACCCTCCCAGCAGGCGACCCCCCCATCACCACAGGGAAATGACGACTGGCGTCAGCTGCGCTTGTCTTTGGCGTCAGGGGTTCTCGTAAGTGGGTGTCCACGTTCCCGCCTCGCAGAGGCTGAGGCTCAGATCAGGAGCACCTGGCGCGTCCTGCAGGTGCAGGCCACGCGCTCCGGGAAAACGGCCCGGACGTCTACAGGAAACGGGACCACTGAAGCGGTCGTCTGGGGAGTGGCTTTGCCCCGTGGCATTTGTTGTTGAGCAGTGAGTGGAGTCCGTGAGAAAGGGGCTCCTTTTTGCCTGCGGGTGCCGAGTCGTTCACGTCTCGGGGTCCCCCAGGCGTGTCCGCGCGGACGGTCCGTTTCCGCGAACTTCTCGGAGGTGATCTGGGACGGAGGTCGACAAGACCTTTAGCGCCAGCAAGGCGTGGGCGCTACTCCTATTTCCATCACTGTTTGCACGACCTTGCGTAAGTTGCCAACTCGGCTGAACTGCAGTTTCCCACAAGATGTGGAAGGTCATTCGCAGGGTCACCCAGGAGTCAGAGACAGCCCTCGACAGAGACTGAGCGTCAGGGGGCTCCTGTGTCCTCCGCACCTCACACTTCTGCTCGAGGGCGAGACAGACTCGGCAGTGCAGTGACCAGCGAGAGTTAGGGACTGGTCACGCAGCCGTGCCTGGCCTGGGGGTGTCCCTGCTTCTCCTCTTACCCTCCGCGCTCTGAACTTGACTCAGCCCCTGTGCCCCCAGACTCCTCCTGCCGGAGGTGGGTGAGGTGCGCAAAAGAGGGTGCGGTGGGTTCCTGCTGTGGTTTCGTAAGGTAGAGAATTCGGGGGAAGGGGTGTGACATGCGCAGCAGACGCCACGGCTTCTTGGGGACACGGTAGTCGGCCCGGGCCTGAGGATGGGAAGGGAGTTGGAAGGCAGTGCAGGGACCGCGCCCTTGCTGGGCACCCCGCCCTCCAAACACAAAGCACGGGCACAACCTGAGTCAGGAAGAGCACGATACAGTCCCCTCGTTCGCTCGCCTCCTCAACCGGAGCGGAGGCCTGGACTGAGAGGCAGCTGCCGGCCCCGCACAGGGCCCCCGCCGGCCCAGACGGCAGTGCACTGGCGTTACCCAGCCGGTCTCAGATGCTCTGCAGCGGAGCTGGGACCCGATTAAAGCAGTCAGTGTGACGGCTCTCGAGCAAGGGAGCCAAGGGAGCCGTGTGATGCAGGTTGGTGGAGTGTTCTGGAACACGGAGAGAAGACCTGGGACAGGCTTTCTGTGACGGCGCAGGGACAGCGCGGTGCAGCCTGGGACGAGGAGGCCCCAGTCTCAGACCGTCCCTCGGAGATGGGGAGTCGGTCACTAGTCCCGAGACCAGAATGAGCCCTGAGGCTCCAGACAGACCATGATCTCCTCCAGGGTCTGAAATAAGGAAAGAAGGAAGTTGTTAGGGGACAGAAAAAGTCCTTTGTAATAAGTCACTACTTCTAGCCCAACATCAGAAACCTTCATTAAGGAGCCTGTGGCTGCTTTGCGTGTCCGTAATAAACCGGTGGTATGACGTCCGTGCTGGGTATTCTAAAGAGTTACCTTTCTAAGCTGGGACTTTCATGGGTTAGTTTTCCCAACAGAAAATGTGCAGAAGACGCATGGGAACCCGCATCCTGGGCTCCTTCTCCACCCAGAGGGGCTGAGGCTGCGCTGCCCCGAGGATTCCGTGTTTATTGCTTGAGTTTTCTTCATCTCCACTAAAACCTGGCATACTTGCGTGTAACTTACACCTTTGCGTTGGGGTTCTTTTTTTTAAAGTTTTCGGTTTTTATCCAGAAAAGGTCAAGGATACTAATATGAGCCCGAGCTGGTGGCTTTCAACATTTTGCTTTAAAAAAAATCTTGCAAGCTGTCAGGATTTTTCATAGCTAGGCATAAATTAATCACAAGACATTCAGCTTAAAAAAACCCAAGACCCATTTGGTTGGTGTCTGTTTTCAGAAATACTATTTTCTCCTCACACACAGGGTAGCTGTGCGTGGCCGTGGCAGCTGTGTGTTGCAGCGGAGAGAACTGCCCCTGAGTCTGATTCAGCTGGGTTTGTGTGCATGGCCTTCTGTGTCACGTGACAAACGGGCTCTTGGCGAGACTGGGAAGCAGGTGCCGTGGCTCTTGCCATTGACCCCTGCCTTCACCTTTTCCTGCCTTTGGAACATTTTGGCTTTATTTCCGTCTCCTCCCCTGGGCCCCAGGATCCAGGGCTTCTTCATCTGGGACCCTGGGACACCTCATTCTCACCATGCAACAAACGACTAGGGAGGTGTAGGTTTTACCTCCCTCCCACTTTTGTGAATTTGCACATTCACAGGGGAATCAGTAGGGAGTCAAGGGATCGAGTCCCCACTGGACTTGTCAGTCAGCTTGTGGGGTGGCCTCTGGGGCACCAGGCCTGCGGGAGTGGGTTTGGGCCCTGTCCCCACTCTGACCCTGTGTCTGAAGCCACTCAGCTCACAGCAGCCATCGTCTGAGAAAACCCCTGACCCTTTACAGAGCAGAGTCAGGCGCCAGTGCGTGAGCTCAGCTACCAAATGCTGTGACATCAGGAACTCAGCAAGTGCAACCACCTTGCTTTTCAGATGCTGATTCTACGAAACACAACCGGAGTTATCGGTTGGACTCTATTGCTTAAGGCCTTGCAAAAGGCCAGCGAGGAAGCAGGTGCTTACTGAGGCTTAGGTGCTTTGAATCATATCATTTTATCAACTCAGTCCTGGCAGCAACTCAGAGGGAAGTGCTGACCACGCCCCTTTGTCCGTGGACCTCCGGCGAGGGAGGCTCAGCGGTGCCCCTCGTGGCCGATCGTGAACAGTGCCCAGACCGGGTCTGAAGCCAGGCCCTCTGTTCCCCACTTGGAGTCAGGGCCCCCGGGTGAAGGGGATACGGGGACAACCCAGGAGCTGAGTTTCCTGCTGGCCATGGGAGCGACAGGGACAGTGAGCACCGGCACGTCTGTGTGGGGCAGGAAGAGAAAAAGTAGGGACCAGTTTTGTCTGGTGGTAAATAGGCTTCCACAGGGCTCTTTCTGAAGGAGAACTGTCCGGGTGAGTGTTGTAAACTAAGTAAGTAAAAATACCCTTACAGGAGGAAAAACTGGTTAAGACTCACAAAACGAGAGCTACAAGAGTAGTGACTAGATGAGTTCTTCTGAGAAACACAAACCCTGCCCTGTGCGGAGAAGCACCATTTGGCCTGTGGGACGGGCGATCTCGCTGGCCTGGCGGTTCGGGTCTGGGTGACGCGGTGATTAACATTGATCATGAGGAGTTGGCTACCTGCCCGGTGTCTCACCAAATCTCTACCTGTGTCCACATTTGTACCCGCATCTATACTTTTAATTTTATGGCCGAGAAAGTCTAGTGTGGTTAAAGGGTCACACCTCTAATGCCTGGTAAGCAGGAAACCGAGAGGGAAAAAGCTTCTGATGATTCAAAACGATGCTCTAAGGAGAAGCCAGGTGTCCAGACGTTTTCTTAGAGTTCTTTCACAAATTGTTAACATGGATTGGCAGCCTTACATCACTTCTGGTATTTCTAGAAATAAAACATTACTCTGGATTTAGATTTCCAATGCAAGTGCTCCAGGCCCCTTCGTGCGTAAGTTCATTTGGGGGCAGTGTTTCCCAGAGAGAGTTTGCTTGGCTAGGAAAGTGGACGGGAGCGGTTTTGATGTGGACGTTGAGATGAAAAGGGCCCCGAGCTGGAGGCTGCGCCAGGGCGGCCTCCCGGGACGGCCCCAGGAGCCATGCTTGGGGGCTGGCGCGGAGCAGTGGTGCCGGCGGCTCCATCACCGTGCCCGCGCGCACGCACTCGCACACCCACACACACATACACACTCGTACACAAACACAGCCACACACATGCTTACACACTGTACACACGCTCACCACACAAATATAGACACACATTCACACAGACAAATGCTTTGCCTCCCCAGCACCCTTTCGGTCTGATTTATGGTGAAGGAATGGAAACCAAGGGCGACTGTATTAAACATTTATTATTACTACTGCCTGCTTCCCAGATGCCTCTCTAAAGCTTTAGGCTTTCGGAGAAATGACTGACAGATGTGTTCCTCACTGACACGCACCTTCTGAGACAGCGAATGTCAGGCCCATCTCGCAGAAGACAAAACTGAGTCTCTGAGAGGTTGTGCCGTTGTCCCCACTCCCCAAGCTTCCAGTGCAGGCCTGTCCCCTGGAATGCTCTCCGGCCCCACTGGAATGGTCCTCAGTGGAAAGGGACAGTTCAGGGACAGCTTTTGCATGGCCCTGGGCACTACGGCTGCAGCCCGAGCCTGCCTGCCCTGGAGGGTGGGCTGTGGGACCCGGGCACCCAGGGCTCAGACCACAGAAAAAACCGGCTTGTGGCTTCTGGAGGGGCCGTGTGGCCCGGTGGGGCCCCTGCTCAGGGACGGTGGCGGTTCTGCAGACGCTCTGGGCACAGCCTGTCTCCCGCGTGGGCCGCCTGGCCAGGGGCTGTGTGTGCCCGTGCAGGCGCGTGACCACGAGGCCGACTCCGACTGCCGGACACGCAGACAGATGGCAGGGAGTCTGAACAGGTGGCCTTCGGGTCCCTGGCTGGGCAGGGGAAGGAGCTCGAGGAGTCCCCTGTGTGTGGACTCAGTTTTCTGCGTAGCCCCCCACCCGCGTCTGGGACGGGGACCCCACGGGAGGGGAGCAGTGGCTGGCAGACGCTGGCTCACACCGGGCTTTGGGAAGTTTTCCCCTCTGCTGCGGAGCGAAAGGAATAAGGACGCGGCGGTGAGGGCTTCTTAGGGTCGTTCTATTTATAAAGCCAAATGTATCCAATGTAACGGACACTCTTCTGGTCTAAGATTACATTTGTCTTCTGATTTTGGTGTTAAAGTCACCTTGGCCATGGGGGTCAGTGGGTTGGACATCATCCCACAAAGCGAAAGTTCGCCGGTTCAATCCCTGGTCAGGGCGCAGGCCTGGGCCGCGGGGTGAGTCCCTGGTCACGGCCCACACGACAGGCAACCGGCCATGTTTCTCTCTCACATCGAGGTTCCTCTCCCTCTCTTTCTCCGTCCCTTCCCTTCCCTCGAGACCCTCTCTCCCTTCCTCTCTACAAAAGAATAGCAATGAAAACACTGTCCTCGGGTGAGGACAGAAAGAAAAAGTGTCCTCTCTGTCATGAAGAGATACTGACGACACACAGCAGCAGTTTCTGAGTCGGTCCCACTGGACGTCCTGATCCCCAATTCTGGGGAAACTGCTGCCGGCTGGAGACCCCCAAACGTGCGGGGCGCGGGGAGTCGGGGGCCAGAGGGGAGGAGGGCAGGGGCACGGTGAGGAGACCCTGGCTGAGACGTCCCTCGGTCTCCCAGGCCCCCCCGTGTCCTCTGCACCCTGAGGAGTGGTCCGGACGGCCACCCGGTGCCTCCCAGGGGCGTGGGTCCAACGCCCACTGGGCGGTGAGCCACCTGGAGGACAGGCCTGGGGCCGCCCCACCTTTGGTCTGTGGAGAAACGCCGGGAGGACGTCACGGTGCGGGCGGTCGGAGCGCCAACTCGAGCTCCGCGGACTGGGCCAAAGTGTGCCTGTGGTGCGGACAGCGAACCTCTGCGTGGGGAAAACTCCTCTTTAATTCTTGCCTTTACGTTTCATCCTTTAAACATTTTCTTGGGCTCTGTTTTTTGCAGAGCCCATCAAGCCCACGGCGCCACTTTGGAAAGGAAGCCAATGAGTTATTCCCTTAACATGTTAAAAATAGGACAAAGGGACTCGCCAGTTTAGCACAGAGCGTCTGCTGGTGCCTTTGGAAAATAAAAGACTTTTAATAAAATGTACTCGCATCTGATTTTGTCACATTATAAACCCATCTGGTAGCTGCTCTTCTTTTTAAAAAAAGGGGCAAGTGTGTGGGGTGTGGGGTGTCGCCCACACAGCAGCTGATCTGTGCTTCTGGGAGGCCAGAGCGGACCTCCCTGCTCTCGGGCCGACCCAGCGTCCCCCACACAACGGCTTGCAGCGCTCCGGCCGACCGTGGCCCGGCCGTGGTCCTCCAGGCCTGACTCACTCTCCTTCTCTGCTTTTGGCCCGATCCTGTGATTCATCATTCTGCTTTTAGAATATTCGCCTATTTTTAAAAGCAGTCACAGAAGGCAGCCACCGTGTAAAAGTAAACACCCCACACACCAGCGCGGGCAGCGTGGTGAGCAGCTTCTCGAGCCGCCGCTCCTGGCGGGCAGGGGTGCCAGCCGCAGCAGGTGGCCGGGGCGGTGATGGGCACGGCTGGCCCGGCTCAGTCGGGGCCTTACATCAGTCTCTGGTTTCCTTCTTTCCGCTGCCACTTCCTGCTTGGATTAGTCCAGCTTGATTCATTTTAAATAAGAGTCTTACTTTTATCTTGCTTGTCATTGTAAAATGCGAATTATAGGCTTATTTCTCTATCAATCAAGCAGGGTTTTCTAGCAGCTGGAGGAATCCCATGTGAAGCCTTCACTTACCCGCAAAATTGTTGGCATGGTCTCACGTATGTGCCTGCATGTACTGTGACGATCGATGACGATACGGATCTCTATCACGGGCCTCATTAACTTGGGGTCACACCAGGTGTTTGCTATTTAGTTGCTGGAGCAAAGCAAATAAGTTCTTGTCCATAACGGAGGAGGAAGGAGCGGGACTTCTCGGGACGCAGGGTGGATGAGTCCCGGGAGCCCCGGTGCGGTCCCTGCCGGCCTTCGGCTCCCTCTCGCCGCCACCCGATTCGCTCGTTCCACTCTTCACACCGCCGGCTTCTGCCCCAGGCGCCTGCTCCCCTGTGAGTGTTGGGGTTCACACACCAAAGTACAAGATGTTCCCATTTGCCCAGATTGCTCTGGTCTTGAACTCACTGAGCTAAAATAATTGTGATGTCTGGGAAGTTGATATTTTAGTGAAGTATATTTAAATGTACCTTTGACCCAAATCAGTTGAAAAACTACAGGTTTGATAATGAAGACGGCCTCTCACAGGTCAGTGGCAAGAAGTGAATATTTCTGTCCTCGGTTCAAGTCCTGGCAAACAAGGGTGGATTTGAAACCTGCAGCATCGGGCAGAAGGCGTCCCCTCTGACCTGAGTGGGAAGGGCACGTTCACGGGGCCCGGGGACGTGTTTCCTCTGGGCATTGTCCCCCCACGTGCGGCAGGGTCTCGGGAAGACTCCGTTTCCACGTCTCCATGCCGCTGACAAGTGTCAGCACGTCACAGGCAGCAGTGGCCCCACTGGGACCCACCGTCCCTGCAGGAGCCACAGTCAGCAGACGGCTGTCATGCTGCGCGTCACTCGCACACAGCTGAAGCTGCTCAGCCAAGGTGAGCGTGTCTTTGCTGTGCCGTCCGCAGCCGGAGCCTCGCCCACAGCCCGTGTCCTTCTCCTTCACCTCGAACTCCAGCCGTTAGCACAAATAAATTGGATTGTGGTGGTAAGGGAGCAAAGATGGGGGTCTTCCCTTTCCTCCTCAGCTTACAATAGCTTTGGTTTTCAGTTATTGTTTAGCCTGTAGTTTGTCTGAGTCTCACTGTCCTATGTTCGGGGGAGGGGCTGTCAACGGGAGGGAGTGGGAGATCGGTGGCCGCTGGACGGCAGAGCCAGCGTCCCTTGGGCTGCGGAGGTCCTGCTGGTGGGGGAGTGGACCCCTCCTGCCACGGCCTGTCTGCAGGACACTCCGGAAGGGATCGGGGGCGACTTGGGTATTTTAGGCCAAACTTTTCTCAGTTTTCCTCTGACACTTGTGGAATCTGCCTCTTTTCATCCAGAGACACTGCCAGGCCTTGGGCTTGGAGACACAGGTGCCCCTCTCTCCTGCAACCGGGCAGTGGGCAGGGCCCCGGCTGGGTGGCTGCCCTGCCTCCGGGGACCCAGAGCCATGCGCTGGTTAACTGCCCATGGGGGGGGTGCTGTATGGGCAGGGAGCAGAGCCGTCGAAGCCGGCTGCCCTGGCCCTTCAGAGTGAGGCCCTCGTGTTGGCTCACGTGTCCCCTCTGTCCCGCTGGAGGCCTGGTCACCTTGCTGGCACCCACTGAAGCACTTTCCGGTACCTCCCGTGTTTGCTTTGGGCTGACACAGGAGCCTTGAAAGTTGAGCCACACTTCTGTCCTGAAGAACTACCAGAGACCATTTGCAAAATCTTGCTCTGGTGGGCGGAGCGCTCGATCCTTCAGTTCGTATCGAAAAGGAATGAAACTGTGTTCTGCGTTCGCCGTGTCTGGAACCAGAGCGATGAGAATGACGGGCAGGGGCACGAGGCAGTCGAACCACAGGGCAGCTCCGGTGAGTGAAAGCTGCCTCCTTCTGCCGTTTCAGATGCTACGCCTCCCGAAGACGCCGCCCCTCCGCTCTTCCCCGAGTTAGACCAGCAGCTGCAGGTAAGGCTTTTTATTGTCCCTCTCCTTTGCACCCTAGTTTCGCAAAACCGAGCGCACTGAGGAGCAGCCAGAGCTCCAGCCCGCGGGGCTGGCTGTCGGGGACGTGCAGGAGGCCCGGTGCCCGTCTCGGGGGAACCAGCCCCGGGGCTGGGCGCGCGGCTCTGGACCTGGGCCCTCTACGGGGTCTGGGGGGCTCAGGAGTCTAGGAAAACCCCACACAGGTGAGCTGTCACGTAGGGCGATGCCCAAGTAACTTCCCTTTCTCTGCTGCACCCACACCCACCCCATCAGCTTTTAATAGAACATGATGATTTTATTTTCTTAGATAAAATTTTTGAAGATTTTATTTATTGAGAGGAAGGGGAGCAGAAAGAGAGGGGGAGAAACATCAGTGTGCGAGAGAGAGACACTGGCTGGCTGCCTCTCGCATGAGCCCCAACCGGGGACCAGGCCCCAGCACCCGGGCCTGCGCCCTGACCTGCATCGAATGGGCGAGCTTTTGCTGTTCAGGAGGACGTCCCACCCACACCGGTCAGGGTGGACGTGGTTAGTTTACACTAAACCTTTTAGAAACTGCCTGGTTTGACCCGTGGGGACCATGTGTCGTGTGGGTAACCGTGGACCGTGTGCCAGAGACGTCCCACTGTAACACGCCCCAGTGCCGTCCCTTCTCCTTAAGGGACAGACGGTGACTCCAGCACCCACCCTGCCTGGGCACTGGTCTCAGCCCAGTGTCCACACCAAAAGCACAGTGCCCAGGTCTCCCGGGGGCTCGGACCCTGGGCTCAGCCACCCCCTTTTCTGATCATTGCTTCGGGGAGCCTTCTGGAGGGTCTGCAGCCTCCAGTCCCCCACAGGCCTGATACCCCCTTACACCAGCAGCTTCTGCCAGGCACTGGTCCCCTGGAGACACTGGAGCTGGGCCCAGCCCTCGAGGGTGGGAAGAGCCAGGGATGGGCCCTGTGTCACCGGGGTTGGTGTCCCTTTGTCTCGGCCAGTTCTCACCTCAGTGCCTGTGTCCAGTGCTGAGAGCCTGCCGGGCGGCTCCCTGGAGGGGCCCCTGTTCCCACGGCTGCCACAGTCTGGGCACTGTCACCTCCTCAGCAGAAAGCCCACCCAGCAGAGCAGTGATGTAGAGATTATGGAGGTTGTCCAGGTCGTGGGGGCCACGCCAACCACACTCAGCCGGCGAAGGAAGCTCTGTCTCTAAGTGTCCTCCGCAGCCCCAGCCATCCTGTCTCCCCCTCCTGTGTCCACCGCAGGGTCTTTGGCCCGCGGGCTCTGGCGTCCCTGAAGGGCTGTGTCTGTGTTCCGGGAGGGTGAGTGGGACTGCGACACAGTGACTGTGTGTCTGTCCCCAGCAGTTTTCTGCTTTATTTTATGGTCATCTCAAAGCTGTTTCACTGCATGGGAGTTACGAGAAAACAGCGTGAACGGGTTCTGAAGCTCACACAGTAGAAGTGCATCCAGGTCTCGCTTCCCCGTCCAGCTGTGTCCACTCCGCTTAGCTGTGTGGGCACCAAGACCTTTCCTCTGGGGACACTGACGGTCCCCCCGCTCAGGGGTCGTGCCCCACGGAGTCACAACCCCTGCCGTCACCTGCATCATTTCTCCACTCAATTCCACTTGACCTGTTTTAGACATTGACTCTATTTAGTTATTTTAATCCAACAAGACTCTTTCGTCCTTACTGGCCCTTGATGAGTCAGGCTGTTGAGAGGCCGTGTCCGGCCCGTGGCCCCGAGCGTCCCGGGCCCTGCGACACGCTCGCTGTGCCTCTTCGTGAAGGGACAGGGCACCGGCACCTGAGCAGCGGCTTGCTGGGGGCGGGTGTGCTGCTCTGGCGACAAGCCTCTGCCGTTGTCAGGCCCCGGGGTCAGGGCTGTCCATGTCAGAGGCTGTCTTGCTGCTTTGCTGACACCCTGGGCCCGGGATGGTGGGGACCGAGAATGAGAGGCTGGGACTGGGAACGGACCTCAGAGCTGGGCTTTGTTTCCATGCTGCACCTGAGCACGTGGGTGCCGGCTGCTCTGCAGCAGCAGCGTCTGCGCTGAAATCCCCGCACAGGCTGCTGTGCACAAGGGCGCTCCGCTTCCCCTTCCCTCACCCGGCCAGGGCTCTCGGGGTCACCGGCCATCGAGCTCCCCTGAGGAAGAACCGGGGCTGGGTCACGGGGGCAGGTGGAAGCCTGCGCATGGCCCTTCTTCCTGGAGCAAACCGATCCCAACAACCTCGCCGGGGCCTGCGCACCTGGCCCGTGGAACAGGGGGCACGTCGGCCTGCCCGCCTGAGATGAGAAACCCAGGTCAGATTTTGGTCCAAAGGTACTTGCCAACTAGACGACCTGTGGCTTTGAGTCCAGGCAGCCTTCCCTCCCAGACACCTCTTGCAGAGCTGGGGGCAGCTCATGTGGCTTCAGCAGGCGTGGACTGTTTTGGCTCTGGTTTGCAAGGTGGTTGCGGTGCGGTCCTACAGCCGCCTTATGAAATCTGCTCTGACCTTCCGTGTCCACTGCACGGTCTTTTGTCACTTATAAGATGCAGCTATAAAATAGCTATTTGGTGGACACTCTTATCACCAATTTGACCCCCAGGATTTTTCTGTTGCTTTGCCAAGAATGTGGACATGTTTGAGCATGTAATCCCCGGTGCTTCTATTTCCACAGAAGCCAAAAAAAGCCCGTGCAAGAATAGCAGTGACGGACGTGGCTCTTGATGTCTCTATTCATGCAGACTGTCGGGCAAGAGGCCTCGGGGTCAGGTAGCTGTTCGCAGGGACAGCTCCTTCCTCGGCCCAGGGGCGGGGGGTGGGCTGGTTCTATTTGTGCGGACTTCTTTCCTGGAAATGGGTTTCACGTCTCCGTGCCCCTGGGGAGCATGTCCGGTGACACTAGTTTACACCGGCCGGGGGCCCAATTTTATGTCCACTTCTAAGACCGAATGAAAAATCCTCGCTCTTCTTTAGGTCTGTTTCCTTTCCTTCCAGACAGCAGTGACCCCCCCGCCCCCTGCTCTGAAGGGCGCTTGACCCTTTAACAGGCCCTGGGTTTCCGCCAGCAGTGGACTTGTTCTCAACTTGAACACTGCAGCCAGGGTTCGGAGACCACGGTTTGGCTTTTACAGATGACTCAGCACTAAGCTGCGGTGTGATCTAATGATTAGCACTGGAATGAGGGAAAGGTTTTTAAAAATCTTTTTTAAATTGAACTTACCGGGGTAACGTTAATAAAATTATATAGGTTTCAGGTGTACATTCTGTAACATGTCATCTGTACATTGTTCTGCGTGCTCACCGCTCCAGGTCAAGTCTCCTTCCATCATCACTCACCCCTCATCCCCGCTCTGCCTCCCACCCCCTCCTTCTGGTCATCACAACGCTGTCGTCTGTGTCTATAGAGTTGTTTTTTGGGTTTTTTTGTTTGTTTCTGCTCAGTCCCTTCACCTTTTTCGCCCAGTCCTCCTAACACCCCTCCCCTCTGACAGCTGTCAGTCTGTTCTGTCGACGAGTCAGTTGCTATTGTATTAGATTCCACATATAAGTGAAACACCAGTTCTAAAGAATACGTGCACCCCTATGTTCACGGCAGCATTATTTACAACAGCCACAGGTGCAGCCCAGGTGCCCAGGGGTAGATGAGTGGATGAGAAAGCCGTGGCACATTTACACAGTGGATACTATGCAGCAGAAAGAAAAACTCTTACTTTTTTGTGACAGCGTGGGTGGACTTGGAGAGCATTATGCCAGGTGAAATAAGCCGGTCAGAGAAAGGAATATGCTTCTATAATCAGGTAAAGGACACGTTAACGAGAGGATGCTAATAAACTCCCTGTAGGGAATTACAAGGACAGATGGCTGCCAGGGCGGGGGTCAGTGCCACGCCCACTGGTTTTGTGATGTGGGGACTGCTGAGACTCGCTGTGAACCCCACTTTGCTGAGCTGCAAAGTGGCGCCAATGTTGTGCTCGCTTAGTTGTGGGAACTGATGATGAGCAGAGACAGCACAGTGCTTGCTAAATGAAACGATCGCTCAGTACATGTTAATTCCCTTCCCCGATGAGATACACACTGAGTGGAGCACTTAAGGATTTACAGCTCCTGTCGAATGAAGGAAGAGGAGCATCGCACTGGGACACTGAGTTAGGGACAGAGGTTCCGATGCCCTCCTCTTTTCATGAAGTTAGGGTTCTTGGAAAACAGGATGGCTTCTATGTTTTTAAGCAAGTTGAGCAATAGTTTCACCCCTGCCCACCCTGAATTCCTCCATCTAATCTGAGGGGACAGTGACAGGTGTCTCCGTGGCACACACTGAACTCGCCTTTTCTCAGACAGTGTCTGGCAAGGCCAGAAACTGAGGTCACCTCCACAAATAAATGGTGTGTGGCCGGAGGTGTGGCTAGAATGTCTTGTTATCCGAGCAGCTTCTCCAGAGACTTCTTTTGGGTCTTGCATCAACACCTCGCGTGGTGGCCCAGGAAGGAAAATGCAGAACGCGGAGAGGCCCCAGAGTTCCTGTGCATCAGCCGGAAGTGGCTGCTTCTTTTTCTCAACATGTCGAAAAGTATCTTAGTGTCTTTGGCTGTTATGACCAGGGAGAAAATATATACAGACCCTTGGAGCTTTACAATGACACCTGTAATTTTTGGAGGGTGGGGACCCAGTGGTCATTAGGATATGCCTTATAGGAAAAGTCTGAGACACTCTTGAGGTACCTCCACCTTTACTATTGGCCACGTCAATAGAAATGATGAACATTATTCATCATAACATTACATAATGCACAGAATATGCTGTATATTTACTAGTGCCTACGTTGTCCGTAATAGATACTATAGAAATGTCAGTTCTTAAAATGTTTTAAAATATTAAAAATTCTAAGATAACAGCATTTTCAAACATTGCACTCAGTCCTGAGTATGTTTTTCCATTTAGTTTTAACAAATTATGCTTGTCAGTTTGGGGGCATTAAAGTGAAACATAAACTTAAACCAGACGCCCCCTAT